CGGACTGGAGCTTCAGTCACAGTCTTAGAGACCATGAACTGAAAGCCCATACCGTGAAGTGACCAATTTCCAGAATGGTTTTGGAAGTTACTAGCATCAAGTCAGTTCACCGTCTCTAAGACTGTGAAGTGAAAGCCCAGAACGTGAAGTCGTCAGTTCATTGTCTAAGACCGTGAAATGATCAATGCGGCCTTGAACTGAAGCCTAAGACCGTGAACTAAGCCCGATCTGGGTATAAAAAGGGGGGCTAGTTTTTGGAGAGGGATTCGATTCTATCTCTAGGGTTTCAACCCAAAACACCAAAGGGGAGTTTTAGTGAGAGAGAGAGAGAGAGAGAGAGAGAGTGCTTGAGTGATCTTGGAGCTTAATTGGAGGCTTGGGTTGATCTTGAAGACAAATATTCAAGCCTAGAAGAAGAATAATAAGAAGATCTTGGGCTCCAATTTGTAATTTCTCTCTTCTCTCTCTAGAAACTCACCCTCTTCTCTTGGTTTAAGAACCCTAGGTCTAGATTTGGGTTTAATGTTGATGTATGTGACACATTCCATGTTTGATTGATGATTTTACTTAATTGATGAATGTTTTCATGAATGACATGAGTAGGGTTTCCATTTTCATGGATTGAGCTTTTGACCTAGGAGGGAGAAAATCCCCTTAGAGCCCATTATTAGTGTCTTCGGGTAACTCCTCATTCTATATCGTCTAGGTAATGCCTGAGGGAGTAGATTCCATCAATCCCCTACGATATAGGGTGTCCCTAGGTTGAATAGAGCCTACCACATTCATCGATTCGCCATTTCGGGTCATTCCGGAGGGAGTCCATCTCCTAACTGTCGATTAATTGAGTCAATCGAGCTTTTGACCTAGGAGGGAAACAAATATTCACCCCATATCGTCCGGGTAATCCCCGAGGGAGTCGATTGGATCGATCTCCTATGATATAGGGGTGCCCTAGGTTGAATAGAGCTCCTACCCATCCATCACTTCACCATTCCGGGTCCATCCCAAGGGAGTTCATATCCTAACGATAGGATAGTGGGTCGATCGAGCTAGGATGGTACTCATCATTGATCATATGACGGAGCTAGGAGGATTCAACCCAAGGGATCTCCATACCTTGTAAATAGCTAGGATTAGTGGTTAGTCTAGGTTAGTTAGTTTAGTTGTATAAATCACTCTCCTAGGTTGGCTAGATAACGAACCCTGAACCTAAAATAGGGTAAGCCTAGATCCCCGTGGTACGATAAATTCTTATTGCTTGCTGTTCCTATGCTACACTAGGTGGGCGGTTATACTTGTCCGTCGATCAGGATGTTAGAACGAATTACTAGACGAAGGGTCGACGGTGCTGCAACCTATCTTCCTTATATCCTAAACATCCTTCAAGAAATCTCACTCGACAAAGATGTGACCAATTGTTTCTTCGTACCTTGTACACAAAATGCATCTTGTTTACACCAAAATAATTTTCATTAATTATTACATGTATGAACGGCTTGGCCACTTTAAGTAGTTGGCCCATGTGTACATGGATGGTCCAATTTATCAAGTTAGGTAGTAGGTTTGGTGGGTGGTAGCTCGGTATGAGGTAACCAATGTAGTCAAAATCGCGCAACTTAAAAACTTACGATTTTACGTTTCAAGGTCACTAAAACGCTTCTACACAAAAACTCAATTTTTTATAACTTATGTAGTGAAAAAAATCCGCTTTAAAACTTAAAAACTTTTCATTTTACGCTTCTAGATCAATAAAACATTTCCATGTAGAAACTCGCTTTTGACTACATTGGAGGTAACCATCCAAGATGGTTAATGTGCCATGGACACCATCCAACTCTACTTTGGATGACAGTGTACAACATCATGGACACCATCCAACCTCTAATTGGATGGTGCCATCCAACCTCTAATTGGATGGTGCCATCCAAGATCATGGACACCATCCTAACTCAAAGTGGATAGTGTCATCCAATAACGTGGATACCATCCAAGTTTATTGGTGCATGGTGATCATCTAATTCTTCATCTGTGGTACGCAAGGGTGATTGTCATATGACATGATGACATGTTGAAGGTGGTTATTAGAAGCAACAACTGACTTTCAAAGGACGCTCAGAGAGGAGTTAGTGGATGCTACATGGAGCTAATTTTTGGGAAGAGCGAGAGAAGGCGGTTAGAGGGTGAGGCATAGCAAAACTTGCAACAAGCTTCTAATGGAGAGAGAAAAATCAAATCACAAATAGTCTCGTCAAAATTTATCTTTTCTCTCTAGAACAATAACCTTAGCAGTAGCACCAATGACCCTCCATGAGGCTTCTCTGTTAATTGTAGTCAGTATTTTCGGAGCTCTCAAGGAATATCCATAGGAGTAGAGGTAATAGTAACTAGATCCTTTGATATATGCATCGAACACCCTCGTTCGAACAGTGTTTGAAGAGGTGTGAACCGAGTAACATCACTTTCTGTTTTCTTGAAGTCATGGTGCATTGATCACGCGATATTCCACCCCAAAAAATTGGCACACCGGGTGGGACGATGTGTGTTCGATATGGCTCCGCAACGAAGGATTCAGGATGGTGATCCTCCACAAGGTTTAGTGTAGGAGGAGCGGTTGGTCAACGTTGATGTTGACCAAGCAGGAGGAAACAATGCTGGAGCAGAGGTGCCACCCATGGTGACTAATGCAAATCCAAGTGAAGCAGCACCATCAGTTCTCCAAATGGTGGAGGCGACTCGCCAATTGGTGGTTGGGATGAACCGAAACTACCAGCAGGTAACCCTTCATCTTGCTTCTTTGGATGAGCGCATTGATGGTTTGAGTTCACGTACTGATAGATAATTTGCCCAATTATTTGAGATGGTGAAAAAAAATATGAATGATTTGGGTGAGTTTAGACAATTGTTGAACATGCCAGTTTTACACACTAGGGCTTAGTCTTCAGATGGTCGAGACTTTCCAAATATTGAGAGTGAAAATGTTAATCTACCATCCAATGGTAGTGGTCAAGGTGACCGTTCGGGAAATCCTACACCAGTGGCAACAACCATACCAACGCCTTAGAGGGTGAATGTTGGCGAGAGTCACGCCACTTCATCGCAAGTCCATGTTGAGTAACTTCCACGTGTGCAAGGTGTTGCTCGACAAAACATTCCAGAAGCCAGACCATACATGGATCCTTTTAATGTTGGGATAGGTTTGGATCCAAGCAATGTTGACTCGGTACCACCACGTGCGTACCCGCAACAAATCTCACCCCATGTGAACATGCATGGCATGGATCCTGGTGGATTCATACCGCTTGGGGGAAACAAGGAATGAGGCTCGATGTGAATACACTCCATGATAAGATGGCATAGTTGTTGGCTGAACAATTTGGTTTTGGTATGATACCAACGATCCCACCTGTCTATCGAAAGCTGTATCCAGAGTGGTGGATAGAATGTATTCGTTCCCAAGAGGGTATATGGTACCAGAGTCTGTACCTTTTATTGGAATGGATGATCAATCCATAGTGGAGCATGTTGGACAATTCACTGTCCAATGTGGTGATGTAGTTGATTTTGTCAAGCTACGTTTGTTTAGCAACTCTTTGACGGGACCTGTTTTTGCATGGTATGTCAATATGCCATCTAATTTAGTGTAGACTTGGCAAATATTGGAACAAATGTTCCATGCCCAATTATATATGTATGAACCAGAAGTAACCATGGCTTACTTGGCACGTATACGCCAACAACCATGGGAGACTGTGGAACACTTCTTGACAAACATTCGTAAAAAATTTCAAGATAGGGATTTCTCTAATTTATTCTAGTTGATGTCATGTGCGGTTAGGTATGAGGCTCTTCTACATGAAGAAGAGAACAAAAGTAGTGCATCTAGTGGACTGTACCACCCTAACTTTGATTATACAATAAACCATGTTGCTCAGGAGCTGGATGGTATCGAGATAGATTTGGCTGAAATTGTGCAAGGGAAGCCATACGTTTGTGCTTCCTTAGCCAAAATGGATAATGAACAACAAGTTGGAAAACCTAACTGTGCTCCAGTCCAACCTAGAAAATTTTCTTTTAATGTTCCAAGTTAGACTTAATTTTTGATCATATGTACAAGGATGGTCAGATTAAACTGTCTGGGGGGCATAGTATCCCACCCCATGAGAAGTTAAAAGGAAAACGTTATTGCAACTGGCATAATAGTATATTACATGCCACTAATAGTTGTGTGGTTTTTCGTAATGGTTTGCAGGATACGATAGACAAGGGATGCATCAAGTTCCCAGAATCCAATAAGGATGCCATGATAGTGGATATTGATCCATTCCCAAATGTCGTAGGCATCAACATGGTCAACCCTGAATTTTTCAAGATTGACATGCCACCCTTCAAATTGGTGTTGGATATAACACCGTCGGCAAGTGGTAGCTATTAGGGGTGTACATGGGTCGGGTGGTCCGGGTTTAGGCATTTTAATCACCCGACCCATGCACTACGGTTTGGGAAATATTAAACCCAAACCCACCCAAAAAAATCTAAACCCTACGGTTTGTTTCTAATTGGGTTGGGTCGGGTTGGCGATATTTTTAAGTAAAAACCCAACCCAACACAAAATATGTAATTATTCTACATCATAAAAATATTTTATAAAAAATTAAAAATTCAAACGAATAAACCGAGGTGAAAGGTATCAAAATTCACAAATATTGTTTGAATTTTAATAAAACTTAATTTACTTCAACTTATGTCTTGTTTTTTCATGCCATTTGTTGAAATAGGCTAAAAAGGTTACAAATGAACGCATCCATAATATGATATTCTTTTAAAATTTTACACAAGAAAAAAAAATACGTGAATCATAGCTATATTAAATATATGTCTAAACTTTAAGTCGAAGAATGCATTAGATTAGTGAGACTTTAATAGAAAAACATGGCGAAATATCTTAATTTTCTCATAAGTATGACTATATACGACATAAATATTTTTTTGGATACGAACTCATACCAATAATTGGAACACGGGTTGGGTCGGGTTCTACGGGTTGTGTAATCTAAAATCCAAACCCAACCCAAATGAGGCGGGTTGTACAAAAGAAAACCCTCACCCAACCCAAAACCTTCGATTTAGCGACAAATACGGGTGGGTTGGGTCGGGTTGGACGGGTGGGTCGGTTTGCGGGTGTGTTTGTTCACCCCTAGTAGCTATAGTGTCATTGTGAAAGGTGGCCCATCATCAACTGGCATGTAAGATGGGACACGTATTGATCCGGCTGATGAAGAAAAGTTGTGTGCACAGTGCAAAGGGAAGCTGAATCTTGGTGGAGATAGACCAACTCAATTGGTCCATCAAAGACTTGATCCACATAGACCATTCAAGCCAAGGTATCCAACATATGAACTTCATGTGGAAGGAGTACGTGCACCTACATGGAGAAGAGGGCAACGTAGGCAATGGGTTGCTCAAAGTGCCCCACCTTTCAAATGTGCACCTTTCAAAAGGGCTTTACCTTTCATAAGTTCACCACTTGTTAGAAGGACCTTCAAGATGTCTAATGTGCCATCAAGTGGATGGCAAACGTACAATGTTCGTTATCAATAGCCAATTGCAGTGGATGGGATGACAATGACACAATACAGAAGGCTCTTTCGCAAAAATACTCAACAGAAGAAGATTTACAACATGCATACCTGTGTTCGTGTGAACAACTCTGATGCCACTGGTCTCAAAGTCATAGTGCCTGATAGCGGCAAGAGTGTGGAGAAGAAGGATGAACCCCCAGCAAATGATGGGTATGATGGAGAGTTGGACGAGTCTTTCATGGAAGAGGAGATGCTCGAGTTAGAACATCCAGGGTCAAAGTTTGACCGGAATACCAAGGATGATGAGGATGATCATGACACATCCACAACCATTCAATTTGGTAGTTTGCCACCTGTTGTGGTGGTGAATAACTACATTTTGCCAATGATCTTTTACTTTGAGATGGATGGTGAAAGAGGAGATGGTGAATTTGAAGTGGGGGTTGAGGAAGTTGATGAAACAACAATGAGCAAGCCATTTCAGAGTTTGTTGGTGGATTTGTCGAGCTGAATTTGGATGGAGATAATGAAGAGTCATCAGTTGCTGAACTGGTTACTGAGTTTGCAAGTTTGGCACTATAGGATGAGCTGTAGAGTGTCATGATGGCTAGTATTGAAGCAATAATCAACTTGTCTGCTGACACAACAAGGGAACACAAGAGTTCCCAACAAACTAAGAGAATTGTAAGAGGCTGGACACAAGTATGTGGGAGTACTTGGTGAGGATGATGGTCAGTATCCCTACTACGTATTGTACCAAGGATCAGAAGGATCCCCAAGCCTTCCTATTGAGAATCCTACATGGGGTTCAGAATTTGAGGAAGAAGAGAACTCTGTGGTTGTTAAAGAGAAGTTGAATGGAAAGAGTGATATGCATGTGGCAACAAGAAAGGGGAAAGAGGTTGTCATTAAAGGATCAACAGTGGAGGAACCAAGTCGAGTAATAGTGTTCACTGAGCTAGATGCAAAGATATTTCGACATCTCAAACCACTATACATAAAATCTCATATTGATAATGTACCAGTGTCAAGGGCGTTAGTTGACATTTGTGTTGTTGTGAACGTGATGCCCACACGTATGCTCAGGAAGTTGGGAAAGAGTACAAGTGATCTCATCCCAATAGAAGTGTTTGTTACCAGCTTCAATAGTGATTCCACCACTGCAAGGGGATACTACCAGTAGTTGTAAGAGTGGGTATCCAAGAGAGAATGGTTGCTTTCTTTGTCGTTGATGGAGCAATCAGCTACAATGCTTTGCTTGGTAAAGAATAGATACATGCTAATAAGTGTGTGCCGTCGTCGTTGCACCAGTGTTTAATGTTTTGGAACAAAGATGGTGTGGTCGAAGTGGTACGAGCTGACACCAAATCATTTGCTGTTGGTGCAAGCATAGCGGAAGCTCCTTGTACCATAGGGACTATGGCCCTCTAGAGATCAAGACAGTAGATGGGGGATCATGTACCATGGTGATGTCTAGTGCAAAGGTATTGAGCAAAGCTTGTGTTAACCCTCAATCAGAAATTATGTGACCATCAATGTTTGTTGTGGATGGTCCACCCCAAACTAACTCATCACCATCAAATGAGTAAGCCACTCCATACAAGAGTGGCAGAGGAGGCCAAAATTACGGCCTTCCAAGAAAGTTTGGCCAGATACCAATGTGAACAAAGGCTTATGTATTTGAAGCCTATATTCATGGTTGACTGTGTATCTGATGATGAGGTATTGATGGAAGAAAAGAGTCTAAGTAATGGTGGGGAAGATAACAAGCACATTGCCATATATATGATGTGTTGGGGAATATGAATCTTGGCACGGAAGACGATCCTCGTTCAACTTTTATAAGTACCAACTTACTAGTCTGCCATTAATGGCAAGTACTTTAACCTATATGTACCGTCCCTTTGGGACGTTAAGGACTGTTAATAATTTAGATGTCAGCCAAGTGCAGACAGAGACCTAGTTGAAGTTGACATGGTTTCTAAGATGTGCAACATGGTCGAGGAGTGAATGGCCAGATTAAATCTTTGCAAGTTGGCCATAAGGAGAGTTTTTGTTTTCTACCTCAGAAGTAGAGGCATCGAGTCACATGGTTGCCATCCAAATTGATTGTTTGGATGGTACCATCCATTACCATGAAGGCTACTATCCCTTCCGTGTTACAAGAGGCTAGGAATGGTTGGCCTTAAGAATTTTGTTACTATGATTTAGTTAAGTGGTTACATGGATAGTGTTGTCCAAGCAAAATGATATTGTCAATGATGCTGATTGATGTGAGCAAGGTCACGACATCATCTGGCTTACATGAGTGCTTGTATGGGTGCACTTGTACCTAGGGGTGGTAAACGGTAATCCGGTAAACGGTTTACTGTTTTACCAAACCGGTAAACGGTAAACCGTTTACCGGCGGTATCGGCAGCCAAGCGGGAAGTTGGGGGAGTCGGTTTACCGGACACGGTATCGGTAAATACCGACGGTAAATCGGTATTACCGATACCGAATCCCCCCTCCCTACTCCATAGTGCTGCGCTGCGTTTTGTTCATTTACCCCCAAAAATATAAAATATTAAATACATGAATGTAAGTATAGGGCTCAAAAATATTGTAAATAAGAGTTAATAATAAATTATTAATTACAAAAATGATGAAAAAAAACTCAAAAAAATCAAAATATTACAACATCACCCCACTTCCAGAAATTCCGTTCGGTAAATATTCGGTAAACCGCCCGAAATCGCTTCTCACGGTATTTTGCTAATACCGGTTTGTAACCGTTTACCGGTAATTCGGTAATCGGTAAAACGGTTACCGGTAATTCGGTAATCGGTAACTAGTTTGGCCAACTTCGGTATACCGAAACTGGTAAATTCGGTAAACAGTAATTGTTTACCGACCGAATCCCACCCCAACTTGTACCCATGAAAGAGTGGAGGTCATGCATAAAGTGTTTAACATGGGAAAGGATGGCTCTCTATGCACAAAATTTGAATTTTAGAAAGGAAAACTGGTGACCATACACGTTATTTGCCATGAGATTTCATAATTAGCCATGTGTTGTATTGTGGCTAATCAATTACATTGGAAGCTACTGTACACCAAATTCAGGAAAAAATCCCAAGTTACACATGTTTTTAAAAAAAATTCTCAAAATACACATGTTATGAAAATAATTCCCAATCTACACATGTTTGGGCCTTCACCGCGTCAGAGAAGGGCGGTGATTGCTTCACCGCGTGAGAGAAAAACGGTGATTGCTTCACCGTGGGAGAGCAAAACGGTGACTGCTTCACCGTGGGAGAGCAAAACGGTGATTGCTTCACCGCGTGAGTAAAAAACGGTGAAGCACTGAACTGCGTCCAAACTTTAAAACAACGTAACTTTGTGCTCGGTTATCCGATCGTAGCGAATTTTTTTTTTTATTCCGCATAATTTTTCGAGATCTTGCAAGCCGCAAACCGCCGTTTGGTCCCGCCTTCGTCTCGAAAAAATGTCGTTTGCTACCCCGAACGACCCTTTTTTCGATTTCGTCAAACTTTGAACGACCATAACTTTGTGCTCCACAATCCAAAAATCATGAATTTTTTTTTGATTCCGCATAACTTTTTAAGGACTACAATTTTTATCATAGACATAATTTCGGAATGCACTTGGATTCATGAAAAGGGAAGGTAAAGTTATTCCCAAAACCCCTTATATCCATAAATAATTCATTTTTTGAAAATTCTCTCCTACTAAAAATTGTAGTCCTTAAAAAGTTATGCGGAATCAAAAAAAAATTCAAGATTTTTGGATTGTGGAGCACAAAGTTATGGTCGTTCAAAGTTTGACGAAATCGAAAAAAGGGTCGTTCGGGGTAGCAAACGACATTTTTTCGAGACGAAGGCGGGATCAAACCGCCTCCGGCGGTTTGCAGCTTGCAAGATCTCGAAAAATTATGCGGAATCAAAAAAAAAATTCGCTACGATCGGATAACCGAGCACAAAGTTACGTTGTTTTAAAGTTTGGACGCAGTTCAGTGCTTCACCGTTTTTCTCTCACGCGGTGAAGCAATCACCGTTTTAGTTTGAAACGGTGAATACATCACCGTTTTAGTCAAAAGCGGTGATGACCTTCACCGCTTTTGTCTAAAACGGTGATGCTCAAACATGTGTACTTTTGGAAAAAATTTTATAACTTATGTATTTTGGGAATTTTTTTTAAGAACTAGTGTACTTTGGGATTTTTTCCCCAAATTCACCAATTTAAAGAAAACATGCAGGTGATGGCGGCGATAAACAAGGCAAATTAAAGAGGAGAGTTTTGAGAATAAAAGGGGCAGCGTGTTGTGTTGCGCAAAAGAAACCATCCAAATATAATGGACGAGGACCTTAGCAACTTTTAGGTTTCTACTATTTTGTAGTGTATGTGTTTGTTTATTTTGCAGGTGTAGCTGCTCATAGGGCTGCCCATATGTGGCAAAAAAGACCTTTTGATCGATCGTTCGATTATTTGTCGACTATGTGCACAGAGTCATTTTCTGTTTTCTTACCATGTATGGGTCAGGGATTTACCTTTACTATATATATATATATATAATGGACGAGGACGATGGCATGTACACGTGCAGGCGCAAAACAACAATAGGAAAAGCAAAGCAAAGAGTAAAGGGGGAATGCCTGTAAGTAATTTTTGGAGTCTATCCACGACAAGTTTGCAATTTCTGCACGTGTATACGGTAAAAAGAGGAGAAGTGGATGGTCCTTGGCTCGGTGTTCATGGAGATAATGGTAGAGCTGTTCTAGGGAAGCATCACACAGCTTATTGAAGGTATGTTGGTATTTTTGAGCTGTGAATTATTATGAATGAAAGCATCAATTTATATAGAGAAAAATAGTTGTGTCCTAATAGTAATGAGTTTCATTTGTGTTGGGCTGAGAAGGAGACAATGGAGCATCTATTTTTCGAATGCCCGGTGGCCAGGGCCCTTTGGGACTTGTTGGGTCTGGATTATCTTGGTCAGGGATTGCCGAGGCACACTTTCCCACTGTTCCTAAAGAAATTGATGGCGCTGGTACATCAGTCTCATTTGTTTATGGCGGTAGTGGTTGTTCTTTGGAGAATTTGGAGCTTGCGGAATTGGGTGGTTTTTGAAGGTATGCAATTTACCATGAATGCCCTGATGCGGCAATATCACCAGCAATATCAGGAGTGGGTTAGGTTGCCTGTTGATTAGAGCCAATGTCTATCCGGTGCTCAGGGCCAAAATAGGTCTACTCCATCTCAACAAGAAATTACTTGCATGTGGGATGGAGCGACGTGCGCTGGGTCTCATTCGTCTGGAGGAATTGTGCTTAAGGATCCTACTGGGGTAATCATTATGGCTCGTGGTGTGCAGTTCCCAATGGTGGATGATCCGTCGATTGCTGAGCTGCTGGTTCTATGTGAGGCCGTGCGCTGGTGCTTGGAATCGGGATTTCTGGATACTTGTTTTCAGGGGGATGCCAAGGTTATAATTGATAAACTAATCGATGGGATGCCAGAGATAATCGCGTAGGCACGGTTCTTGAGGAGTTAATCCGGGTGTTTTCTTTCCATTCCATGCTTAATGTTCGCTTTGTAGGTCGGCGTAGCAATAGGGTAGCCCATTTGGTGGCTCGTAAGGCCCTTTCTTTGTACCCGACTACATGTCGATCCTTTGATTTTCAGGCCTGAATGAATTCCAGGGTGTAATATCTTTTGATCTTATCAATATATCTGATTATCTTTTGTAAAAAAAAAATTCGTTTTGCCAATAGGATATGGGTTAAGAAAGTGTGTCCTACATGAAAGATAATTGTTTTTCCTTATCAATAAAGGAAAAGTAGGCCACGTTGTTTGGCTATTTTTGGATTAACTAATGTCCTTGGCTTTATCATAAACATAATAGGAAAAATTGTATTATTATCCGAGTTGGAGAGGGGCACCCTATTGGTGTGTTTCGTTTACTTGGCTAGGAAGGAATTAAATTCCTTATATGATTTGGAGATATGGATACATAAAGCCAACATTTGTTTCAAGTGGTTGCACATCTAGTACAGTTTGTGTCAACAACTTAGTCCATAATTTCTTATGAACTAAGTTGTGGGGGGCGTTTGTTTGCACCAAAATAATTTTCATTAATTCTTACATGTATGAACAGCTTGGCCACTTTAAGTAGTTGTCCCATGCGTACATGGATGGTCCAATTTATCAAGTCGGGTCGTAGGTTAGGTGGATGATAGCTCGATATCAGGTAAAACATCCAAGATGGTTAATGTGTCAACCATGAATACGATCTAACTCTACAATGGATGTAGTGTCCAAAATCATGCGCACCATCCAACTCTACTATGGATGGTAGTGTCCAACATCATGGATACCATCCAACTCTATAAATGGATGGTAGTGTCCAAAATCATGGATACAATCCAAACCCTATTATGGATGGTACTACCCCATTCATCATGGACACCATCCTAACTCAAAGTGGATAGTGTCATCTAATAACATAGAGACCATCCAAGTTATTTGGTGTATGGTGATCATCTAATTGTTCATCTGTGGTACGCAAGGGTGATTGTCATATGACATGATGAAGTGTCGAAGGTGGTTACCAAAAGCAACAACTAACTTGCAAAGGACGCTCAGAGAGGAGTTAGTGGATATTACGTGGAGATGATTTTTAGAAGAGCAAGAGAAGGTGTTAGAGGGTGAGGCACAGCATAACTCCGAACAAGCTTCTGATGGAGAGACGGACAAATCAAATCACAAACAGTCTCGTCGAAATATATCTTTTTCTCTCTAGAACAGCAACCGTAGCAGTAGCACCAGGGACCCTCCACGATGCGTCTTTGTTAATTGTAGTCAGTAGTTGCGGAGCTCCCAAGGAATCTCCATAGGATTAGAGGTAACAGTAACTAGATCCTTTGATGTATGCATCGAACACCCTCGTTCGAACAATGTTTGAAGAGGTGAGAACCGAGTAACATCTTTTCTGTTTCTTCAAGTCAGTGTGCATTGATCAAACGAAATTCCACCAAA